TATATATATATATATATATATATATAATTATGAAAATATATCTTTGATGAGGAATGCATTTCATGGCGAAATATCACATGTTGTGGACAGAGATGAGAGATGGCCAGTGGCTCACACAGGTATCCATAATGGGGTTGGCTTCCAGACTCCCTCCACCACTGTCGTCACCTTCTTCCTGCCTCTCTCGTCTTTCGTGCAAACGGTGTGATTTGTTTGACAGGCCATATCTAAACAATATAGAATGAACAAGAAATGTTTGACAGGCAATATTTGCTTGCTTCTTGTGTAGCCTTTGATGCAGTCCCATTCCTAAAAGGGGAAACAAAAAAATTGTAATTTTTTCGCGAAAATTTTGATTGTAAAACTTGATAATACTTGGTCTAATTTGCCTCTATAACCACATATTTTCCTGCTAAAATCCATAAAACAGAAACTCCAGGTTTCTGCTTTATGGATTTTGGCCAAAAAAAAAAATCCTGTGTTGCTCCACCCTCCCTATTCACCGGACCTGGCTCCGTGTGACTTTCCTGTTCCCCGAGACTAAATTTCACGTGAAAGGAAAAAAGATTAAAAGACATTGCAAGCATCAAGGAAAATGCGACGAGGCAGCTTAAGAGTCTTACACTCCAGGACTTCCAGCACCGCTTCCAGAAGTTGCAGGAACGTTGGATAAGTGCATAGCATCAAGGGGGGAATACTTTGAAGGGGACAACAATTAATATTAAAGTACTTATTAAAAATAAAGTTTACGAATAAAAGCACTGGAACATTTTGATCAGACCTCTTATATCATCCTGCTGGACTATCATATATTCACTCTGGTCCTTGGGAGACGCATGTGCCATACCACAATATGGCATGACCCATGCATTTGAACTGCCAATGTTAGATTCAATCACAGCATGATGCTTTGGGATGACAATACAACAATAATGCATTGCACAAACTCCATTTGGCTGAAAAAAGCAGCATGAATCGAAGAGGACACTTGTGCAGTGCACATTTTCAAATTAAATTATTCTGAGCTATACAGTGTGTTAGAAAAGTCCCTATCTATTTTCCAGAAATAATGATAGAGATATTGATTGATAATGCTGCGTCTTTGCGAATAAGCGGCGGTGCTTTCACTTTGACTCCAAGGCAAGTCAAGCAATGAGATCATAAGACAGCTCCAAAGAACAAAGAAGAATCAAAGAAGATTTAAGAAACCTGGACCCACAGACAAAGCTATTTGTGAAGTGGTAAACAAATTTAAATGGACTGGATCTGTCAAGGATGAGGCAAGATCTGGCTGTCCACATAGTTCCTAGGAAACAATGGAATCAATAATAAAAAATAAATACTAAAATAAATAAAACAATTCGTCAGTCTGTCGTACAACATGCAAACTAAACATTCCCAAATCAACTCTTCAAGACATTTTGAAATGTACTCTAAAAAAAAAGAGCATATCACATTAAACTACCTAAATGGCAAGAATTAATGCTGATAGTGTGCACAATAACAAAAGGACTCATTTACTATACAGTATTGCAGTAAGGTTTAGATTTGATTGGGTTGGTACCCTGGTCTGTGTGCAACATAGGGGGTAGTTCACAAAAATGGAAAATTAAATATTTCCCTATTCAATAGTTTTGATTTTGATGACATTAATAAAAGCAATTCAAAAGCTTAAACTTGCATATGGGGGGAAACATTTGGCAAATGTTATGCAGGACCAACCCAGGAAGTATTAAGTGGTGTCATAACTAGCAACTGCTACTTATGTGGTCATTCTGATACTATTTCAATGACATATACAGGTGTTCGAAAAGTCACTTTGCAGTAGAATTCTTTTATTTTGTCACATGTACTTAGTATTGTACTGCATATCACATGTACTGCCTCATCAAAGACATGAATTTCCAATCAATACTTCATCAAATATTAGCACCATCCCTGATTCACATAATTTATTGTCTGCAATTCCTAGCTACAGTGAGGCCTCCTACGTCATGTTGTGAATTCTACTGCATAGTGACTTTTCGAACACCCTGTATGTTGGGTGAAGGATTTTTTTTAAAATCCAGATTTAATATTTTTTTGCTAAGCTATTGTAAATTCATGCCATTTAAAATAATCAAGAGTAATATTTTCTTGACATAACAGGTTGTGCATTAAATTTAGGGACCTGTGTAATTCTGGAAACTTATATATATTTTTGCTTTATCACAGCAAACTCCAGAGAAGTTTATGTGTTCCAAACTTTCAGTTTTAGAAATAGAATAAAATAATCCTCACCCATTGATATGATACCCATACTTAGTCGATATACCAAGTCAATTTAATTCTGACCCCATGTGCTAGAATAGGAAAACTTCCTTCATGTTTGTGAGCTCAAGTAATTCATGTCCAGAAAGGGAAACCTCAAAGAAACCAGACAATTAAGGCAAAATCCACTTTCCTTCCTCTGCATGAAAAGAATGGCTGAGTGACATGCACCAGATCCATTCAACTTTAAACTGATCTGGTTTCATAATGGACACCTATGGGCATAAGATTATCCCCCTCAAACAGATTCTCACAGAGGACCATTGTGAGATCAGATAAGTTTAAGTTAAACAGATCAGGTGCATGTATTCCTTTATTTATAAATGACTTTAATACCCAAAGGTGAATGGATCAATATGCTTTGTGGCTAAATTTGGCAGTATAAACTCATCTTATTGGGTCATGCACAATTTGAGAATGTTTCTGTGATATTACTACTCCTCACTGGAAATGAAATAGAATATTAATAATTAAATATTTGTGAATTCCCATTATTTACTCTTGATTTTACACCATCAACTTGGCTTTGGTGTATTTGCCATAATAATAAAAAAAAGTCAGATGAATCAATTGAATCCATGGACAGTGGTATTCTGACATTTTGAGCTGGGAGTGCATATGGACATGACCGTCCTTGTCTGGGTCAAACCAGAAAAAAGGCTTACTGGTGTTAAGTTCCTCTTGACTGAAAAGTTCTTTGTACCTTTGTGGACTGCATACAAGGCCATTGCAGGCCGTCCAAGGTCCAATGACATAAGGCCCACATAATTATTATTCAAGAAGGAATGAAAACATTTCTACGCTTCTTTTGAAAAAAAAAGTACTGGTAGTCAGCAGGAATGGAATTGAAAATGGAATAGACACTTTGGGCACCCCTGCTTTAGACGTTTCCGTACAAAAATGTCCAAGAAAAACTTGAGGTAATGAAGACACATGTGGGATTTTTCTTGGCTTCAAATGTATTCAACACCACAGTACATTCAAGGCTCATCTGTTATATGGAAATGCTGAATCAAACTTTGAGTTGAATACCATTTTGGATAGATCTTAGGGTAATTCAACAATTCTTATTTAATACATATTGCAAAATATAAGGATGGAAACTATGTACCCAAAATTTTCTTCCAATTTCATCCAATCATTGCCTAAGAATTCCCACATTCTAGCAATAAAATATACAGGGTGTATCAAAGTCAGGACTCATAGGTAGATTTCACTATTTTCCTTTATTTCATTAAATTTTCAAATTAAAGGCCATGAACCTGCATACACTTATCAATTCTGGCATGTAAAACCCTCTGAATATTTCTAAGTACCTCTGTACTAATTTCACTGAAAATTTTAATTAATTCAAAACACCCATGAGTATGGACTTTTGATACACCCTGTATATCCCTTGGTGCTAATAGAATGAATTCTCATCAAAGCATGATTGTGGGAATTGCATGTCATTGTGCAATGCCTGCTGGAAGTAAAGCCTCACTTTTCAACTTCAAAAATCTAAGTCTGTTCAACCAAGTCCTTCACTCAGGCCTGAGATCCAGAAGAAAAACATGACAAAAATTCATTTCTCTACATCAAAGAATAATAAAGAAAATATATAGGGTAAAGAAAGGACTTAATATTGAATTATCACAAATGAAGTTATGAACAGGGTAGATGCAATATTATTCATTAGAGGGTGGTTCCCTAACCCCCCTCAACCTTCATCAGCACTAAAGATGCACTGATCCACAAGTACCAATACCAATACCTATTCCAATGCTGTAGTATCAACTGATACAAATACCTCCCAGTGGCTGTTGGAACCCAGAAGTGAAATGCCAATCCCTGCCTCTCTGAGATTTTATTCATGAGCTGGATAGAGGCAAAAGAGACTTGTATAAAAATGATAGGAACAGGTTGAATCAGGAAAAATTTGACATGCTCATAGAGTAGCAAATGGCACCAGAGACACTAAACACTCTCTGAAGGCACACCTGTTGGAGGTATCACAGTGTGCAGCAAAGGAAAATCTGATTTGATTGGCCAATATTGATCAAGAAATTCCAAGAAAATAAACAATTAACAATAAATAAATTATTAATTTCCATAGAGAGAGCGGATCTGGATACAGGAGGTCACCTCTCTCTGGATCCATCACTCATCACAGACAGAGGAATCTCATGGTGCCATGGATGGATGCCCATTCCTAAAGGGGAAACAAAAAAACATCACATTTTTTTGGCATCTTACAATCCAATGAGTATCCTTGGCAAAAGCACTAATTAATACAACACTAGGTCTAAATTTTCCCCTGAACCTCAGATTTACCATCCAACATCCATAACAGAAACATGGAACTACAACTCTGGTAATCTCAAAGGCACCTGTGATCATGGCAACACGACACTGTCATTTTCTTTTTGAATTTTGTGCTCTGCTTGTGTGTGACAGTGTTCTATTTGTTGATAAAAATGACACTGATCTCTCCAGTTCAAGTAAAAGATAACTTATTGAAAATGCAATGCTGGAGCAACCCAGGGAGGGTTAATTAGTGCTAAACTAGCAAATGCTATTCATGTGCTCCTTCTGATCTGACTTCAATGATATCTGATACCCATGCTTGCAGCCACATCTTACCTCTTGCAGATTTTCATGCACATAAAAAGGGTCATGCACAAAAAGTGGATAAAGTGGTCAGATTGACATGAAATAGCCCAACAGAGATCAAAATGCAAAATGTCTAGGAGAAACAAATTTATCAATATTGTCCAGAACTGATCACATTCCACTTTGAACTTCTCTTATGACTGCCCACTTTGAATCTTACCTCCATGGAAACCATGGTTAGCATTCTTTTCTGAAAATAATATGGGTTATATTATTGCTTAATTTATATATTTACTGCAAAAATCCAAATTACCAGTTATTTATTAAAAGATTTACATTCACAAATGGGCATATTTTTCTTTATTCATCAGAAACCAGAAGAACTAAATGAATCTAGGTGGGGCCAACATTACATTTATCTGACAACAGAGGATTTACCCCAAGATTTCAAAATTATTTTGCAAAATTTTTTTTTCAAACAAGTATCAGCTCAGATAAACAGAAGCTGACTTGGCTAGGCTAACCTGCATCTAGCACCCTGGTGATCTGATGTAGAATCTTCATTCCCTTCCTCCTCAACATTGGTATCCTTCTTCCTATTCTCTGGTGGCACCTGTCAATAACACAAATAAAATAACCTTCCCTGCAGAAATTCTTCTAACAGGTACGTACCTCTCACATTTCCCACAAATGGAGTTTACTATCAGAGGATGTTTCAAGAAAGATCAAGCTGGGCAAAGCCCACCCCATGAGTGGATTGTATTGTCACAGATGATAAGCCTACAGCCAAAACAATAGAGAATATGGGGGGGGGGGAGAATACACACAAGTTATACATTTATGTGTGTTCTCCCCCCCCCATATTCAATAAGCAATAAAATGCCATTGGTGTCAAGAATGATCATCCACTTTACTGTCTTGCTCTAAGGGATTTTGCCTATTTAAAAGTCCATATTCACAAAAAATTACATGACATTCATTTTATGAGTTACTGCATTAACCTGAAGCTGGCAGACACCCAACAATGTGAAAAAGTTTCAAGGCTCATTCACACTAACCTCATTGTATTGCAAAGGGGGTTATAACTCAACACAGGTGCACTTATGACCAAAACCAAGGCTCAAGGCTTCGTGCAAAGAGTTGAGCAGAATCCAACATGGTGAATTATCAACTCATGCTCTTCCAATCAAAGCAGAGAATCATAATTGTAACTTATCAGGCCAATGCTCACTTCTCTGCCTCTAAGCACAGCATGCCAAAGTTGACTTGAGTAATGTCAAAATAAAGCTTTTCACAACCTTGGTGAAATATCAACAAGATTTGATATTGCAGGAGTCATATTGAGTACCCTCAGTCCACTGTTAAGGTGCAATGTGATGTATCAATTTGATGACAAGGTCATAGTGAGATGCTTGAGGACACAAGCCTTCTAATATTGTATGATACTATTCCAGCCTTGTTATGCTGTGTAGTTGGTGGGAACTTAGTGTCATGTTCAAAGACCAAAACAGAGTCAGGTGTATTGGTGCATTCAAGGAATTACATGAGAATCACCTCTTCCACATAAATCCTCATGGAAGAAAAAATATTTTTTTGAATTNTTTTTTTTTTTTTACAGCAATTGGTGCTGGCAAGTCACTTGGGAATGAAGTAACAAACTCAATCAACCCTTAGATGTAGATGTGGCAGATGTAGAATTGGGACATGGATCCCGGTGGGGCACATAACGTGTCCTGAGAAATTGGTACTTCTTTTTCCCCCCTTTTTCTTCCAAGGAACCCTGTTCAAATGAGAAGAGATGTGTTCATTAAGATTTCATCCATTCCAAATACCTCACTTTGGTTATGCAACTTTTCCTCTCTCCAGCAGGTGCTACCAGTTATGATAGCGAACAATGGATGCATATCACCCTGAGGAAAGAAAGAAGGGCGAAATACAGGGTGTTTTAAAAGTCCATACTCATGGGTATTTTGAATTAATTAAATTTCTCAATGAATGAGTGCACCAAAACTAGTACAGAAGTTCTAAAAAATATTTAGAGGGGGTTATGTGCCAGGATTGATATGTATATGCAAGTTCATGGCATGCAATTTGAACATTTAATGAAATAAAGGTAAATTAGGAAATCTGCCTATGAGTCTGGACTTTTGAAACACCCTGTATATTACAAACAAAAAATGTGTACATATCTAAATATTTGTCAATGTGTGATTATCCTTATTATAATCTGAAATGGGAACTCTCCAGCTCAGTTCCATGTGGGCATTCACAAAAAAAAGCATTTCATATTAGTCCATGCCAAGAGCAACACTCAATCAAGTAGCTTCTGCTTGGTAACCCCAAATCTAAAGGTATATTTAATTTGATGAACATTGAAGCATTCTTCATCTCTTATGTTCCTTCATCTCTCTAAGAACAACAGGATCAAAGTAACTTCTTACCTAATGCTCTACTATTACTTTTTTTTAAAATTCTTTCGAGGGTGAATTTTTCTGTTTAAAATGAGTTTTTTTGGGCAAAATGACTGCTGCATGAATGATTTTTGTACTCTAATCTGTTGAATTAATCTAGGAAATATATCAATCAATTTACAAGGATTTAGGCCCACTACACTTGAAATCTCAGCAGTGCATACTCTGGTAGGCTCACTGACTGCAAAAATGATATTTCAGTGCAACACATGAAAGGGTTAAAGGTCAATTATTTTATATTCCTTTTCTAAACTAGCACTCAGAATGAAAAATTAGTCAATTGCACAGTTCAAGAGGTGAATTTGTCATGAGTAGCAAAGAAAAATGCCAGAAAAACTCCTGTGAGCACATATCTGGCAATACTAAAAACTAAGGATACAGGAACTAAGGATCTCTGTTACCTTACCTTTAAATGAACAACAATACCCTTTTATAAGTTCCTCTAACAAATTTTTGGTTTCCAAAGATCAAGCCCAAATGTGAAAACAGATCAGCAATATCAATGAAAGCAAAAACTGATGACTTCAATGAAGTTGTTGCATGAAAATTCAAGCTGGACAAAAGGTCTAAGTGAGCCACATAAATAATTACAAATTCTGCATAGCCTGGATAATTTTCCCTTGCCGAAATTTAACAAAAAGGTCTTGTCATGGGTACCACTGATGAAAAAATTCCCTTCAACTTTAAACCCATTAGATCAGTTCCTTTGCTTCGGTGACCCATTTACAATCTGGAAGGAGGCCTCCAGGCATCATGAAATGCACAAAATCATGAAGGACTCACAGACATAAATATGGACTGGCTGTTTTCCAAGACCTTAGAGTCATTCTCAATTTCTATCCTAAACATGACAGGGGATCCAAAGATTGTAAAGTTCTCAATGGGGATCACCTTCTCACCATAACACAGTTTGAAGCTGTGTGGTCGTGAACTCAATTTCATATAAGGAACCTGCAATAAAAATCAGGATTTAGCAGCATTACACCACAAAATGAGCAACAAGTCCATATTTCCAGCCAAGCACATGGACAATCAACAGCCTTCCATAATAAGCATAAACAACACTAATTTTAATCTAGATGGTAATTATACTTAACAGGCTAGATCAATCACCAAGGATTTCGGTTCAAGTAGGGGTATGAAGAGGCACTTTAACTCATTATTATGTCCTTTGTCAAGGTCTCATATTCACATATAAGATAGGCTTACAACTTTTAAAGAGTGACATTTTGTGGAACCATATCCACCAACTGATCACTAACATTGTTCCCTTATTCATGTTGTCCCTGAAGTCAACTGTCCTCTTTTTAGAGCTAGTCATGAAAGGGGAACCTCCATCACTATTCATGCCAGTCAATTTTTGTGCCATTGTCATCTGTCTCCACGAAGCACCACTGATGACTTCATCAACTTTGGGGTACAGCTGAACTCAAAAATTGCCTCTGAACCTAATGCTTCTTATATTTACAAAGTTCTCACTGAAAGATTCAATCCATGAACAGAAAACCTTACAGTAAACTGTTGTCCCATGCACCCTCTATAGCCAGTTAGGAGCCAGTAGAGTGCCTTCAATATGAAATCAATTCAGTTTCATTACATACTGTGAGTGAGGCCTGATGAACATGAATGAACATCGTTTCTGGTGTGGCTTTTCTCAAAGTTGATTTCTGTATTTCCTCCTAGCCTAAAAAAATAGATCTTTGCAGATGCAATGGGCAATGCTCATTGCAATCAGATTGGTGCAAGGGTATTTAGGCAACCTTAAATGGCTGATAGTCAGCGATAAAAAAAAACTCAGAATGCAGCAACTTTCATATCCAAATTGCCTTAAATGGAAGAAGTAGTTGCAAAAATTCATCTTTGTATGGCTAGAGCCATAGCCCTATATTTTAGTCTTGAGAGTCTCATACAGATTTTAATAGGAATCAAAGCTGTTTCCAGCTCTCTCATTACAGACTGGAGAAGTGTCTCCCTCAACTCCATTGAAAAATTCCTACCTTTTCCTTCTGTAACTATAGGGTGGTCTGACATTTCTATGTACCTATATGCAGGAATGGTTAAACAAAGACAGGAGAAGAATTTGTAAAAAGGATGGGATTTGATTTTAGTTTTCAAGAAAATACCAATTGAATAATGATTCAATTGATAATAACCAGATCACAATAAGCAATGTTTACTGTATTGCGTTTGCTATTATTTTAAAGTTTACTCATGAATTGACTGATTTTCCTGGTAAACCCAATGCATCTATTTACACCTTTTTCATATTGAATTTGTACCCCCTACCCCACTGAGGATTGAAAATGGGAAAAAGCATTACAAAGGATCCACTTCTAAAGACTGGTGGCAATTGATGGAGGTGCTCCTAAGGAAGGGAGGGAAAGAATTCAATCTGGAAACATCACACAATCTCTCATGCTTGTCCATATCACTTAGCTTCTTTCCAAAAAGGTCATGATCTCACATTGAAGCTGAAAGTCACTGAGAGGGGATCCAAATTTCCTAGGTCCTCGTTTACAACACCTTTCACATTGACATCTATGCCTTCATAAATAAAATGGCAATCTGCCTTGTTCTTCTCGAATCTGCAAAAGTCTGCTGGAAAGGATAATTCCACTCATTAATCAATTTTTTTTCTCCATGATATGTCCAGAACAAGCCATAGCATTCCATTCAGTTAAGCAGTGATCTTGGGATGAGTTTTCACTCCTATGTAATAAAAATCATCACTTTCTGTCAACTATTGCCAGGAAAAGTAACATTTTCCTCAGTCTTACATATAACTAGCATTTGGTGGGCATATGCTAACTCATTCCAAAATCCCTGTAAGAATCCTTGTAAAGGAGGACCTCAAACATAGCCTCACCTGATGCAACCCTCCACCAGAAAAGAACGAAAGTCAGAATGAATATGGGCCAGCCTGACATTCTGTTCACCATCTCACAATTCTTGGCTATCAATGAGGAAGGATGCAATAAAGGAAGTGAGAGAGGAACTCCCTCACAGAACAGGGTCTTTATCTACTGTTCAAGACTTGCCCTGATTCACATCCAGCATCCCACCACCCTCTTACCTCTGGGATTATGCAAGGAGGACCTCATAGCACCCACAGAGGTACTGAAACTTTTTGTTTTTTTGAAGTCTCCAATGTAACACATTAGCTGTCATACAGGATGCTAGCAAGTTGCAAGCGCTTGTATTCACTGGGCCATACAACCTACCAGCATCCCCATGCATGTTAGCAAATTAAAACACTCTTGGCTTTACATCTCACAGAAAAAGGCAAAACATCCTTTGATAGTTGATGCGTTACATTATTAAGTATGGAGAAGATGCAGAGTGTCATGTTTTTGACAGGCTAATTCATTCTCACACCTTTAAAAACAGTCCCTGAAATATTGCATTTCTGTTGAAATTTGTGGCCCCTTCTGCATCACAAAAATGCCTGAATCTGTGAAGAAAGAGAGATCATCATTCCCAGAAACTTCCCAAGAAGGAGAATGAATAGTTTCCCTACTTGCAAAAACTTTTAATTATATCCAGAGCAGAAAGATCTGACCAGAATAAAAACCAGGTGCTCTCAAGTCTTGGGAGAGTGTTGGCCGTGGAATACAAGAAGAACGTAGAACCAAATAGTGACAGGATTCTTTCACCAAAATTCTCTCTTCCCCATATTTCATTGACCCCACATTTTTTCTCTGGGGCTTCCTAAAAACAAAGTGTACCACACAAAACCAGAGCATGCTGATGACAAAGAACAGAATTATGGAAGTTATCACTGCAATTAACAGAAACACATTCCAGGCAATAATGAAAGGTTTTGATTCGATGGAGAGAGTGCATTAATCAGAAAGGAAGGCATTTGAAACACGTTTTTTTTTTTTCAAGAACAAAAAGCAATTTTGTGTGAATTCTGAGTGTTGGATCATAACTACTAAGGTTTCTCTTTAATTATGTTTCAGGTTGAATGAATTAACCATTCTCAAGTAATTAGCAAAAAAAGTGTCAGAAATACATGGGACACCCTGTATAACAATTAGGGTGTTATTCCAACATATTGGTCTCCAAATACCTCATTATCACATATCCAATATTTGTGATGTGTGTTGTCCATTTATCTCATTCATGATTCTGTGTTCGTTACAATGAACTGAACTGAAATGAATGAAATGGTCATTAACCCTTTCGCTGATATCGGAACATATCTTGTCTCATTACTAATTTTCTACTAAAATCGCTGTAATTATAATACGATCCATCCATAGCATTAAAATTATTCATGCATATTGTTCAAAAGCTGGATAATCTACAATAACCGTCGTCAGATGTCACCACTCATAATTGATTACACGCAAAGCTCAGTAGCTGAAATATTGCGCACAATTTCGGCACTGAAAGCGTTAAGCTGAAATCCAAAATTACGTCATCCGACCAATTGTCACTTCCTTGCAACCAAATGAACGCCAACTTCCCCAAAAGAAATTCTGCTATTGGTATCTTGGATGAATACCATCATGCCACGTTATTAAGTACTTAAAAAAATGGTGACATGAACACAGTGATGGCCTGAAAGTTGTAAGGCCGATTCCTTGCGCTTGCCTTAAGACGGGGAGGGATTGATTAGGTTTTCGGTTACGAGCTCGTCCAGGGTTTTCAGAGGAACTTCCTGAAAATACCAGCAAGGATGCAGGGAGTGTATAAGCCCGAAGGGAATAACTGCTTGGAGCAGGTCACATCCCCGCATCCATGCGCTCTTGGATCCACGCCATTACAGTCAGGTGAGAAATAAGACTATTGAAGAATGCATTCCTCCTGGTCCCCGCTCACTACAGTGTTTATCGAAGAAATTCATCTACCCTGCAGTTGGCAGTGACGCTGCTGGTTGTGAGAAGAAAGTGGCATCTGTTTTTCGTCCCATTAACAGTTAAACTATCCACATTTGCGATCCCAGCCAGTTTCCCGACCACCATAGACCAGAATGGTGCTTTGAAGGAGCTTCGCAAACTCGACATAATACAGCTAATCAGAACGAGCAGGAACCAACATTCTTTGAACAGAGTTCGAGTGAAGTGAACCTTGAGAAATGTTAGCGCACCGAAGTGAAGACGATATCGTCACCTCGTCATCGAAGCAATCACGAAATCGGTCATGTATCACTGGGATGCATTTTTATTTTGACCATTTTATCATCCATGAAAAGACACACCTGGAAAAAATTCCAAACTCTCAATATTCCGGAAATCCGAAGATGAGTAACACGAAATTTCAATAGTTAACTTTCTGACGCAGATGCATCATAGAAAAGCATGACGAGTCATAGGAGCCCATAGACGAGGCATAGACGCCAAGGCTACATATAAAACCATTTGCGGGGAAAACGTTTTTTTGGGCGTTTTTCGATACGCGGTGGTAAAAACACATGAAAAAAAATTTTTCATTGGAAAATGTTTTTTTGATGCTTCTCAAATGTTTTTTAAAGCCACGAAAAAGAAATGAGAGGATTCCCAGAAACGTCTAAAAAAAAACTGCCCGGCTAGTTTTCGGCAAAAACAAAGTTGATCTTCCCGTACCCGCAATCGTAGAACAACTTCCACAGGGGAAGGTGCCAAATGTTCTTTGAGAATACGATATCTCCAAAAAAAAAAAAAATTATATATTATCCACGGCAGTGCTGCGTTGAGTTGCACCACGTTCTTGAATCGTGTCTTGCTCAAAAAGGGGCAAGGGATAGACCGAAGTGAAGGGAAAACTCATGACTATGGCGCAACAGTACCAAAGCATTTGGAAGCATGATGCCGCGATGCATCACGACGCGATTCGTGTTTCCAATGCTGCCATCGCCTGTCTGCGAAAGCAGAGGAGGAAACGGAGCGTCTTCCGTCCACTCTCCGACCGATAGCAGGAAGTGACACTCTGTTGCCGCTGTGGTCGAAATGCCAGATAAGTTTATATTTTGCCCGCCGGCTCGCTTCCGTGGCAGTGGGAAATCATTCGTCGAGTGTGGAAAAACATCTCTCCGCTGTTGTTCCATGTTCGTGCGAGTGCGGGCTCGAGAAACGAAAATTATTCTTTTACACTAACATTTCTCGGAACGCTTTTCTCTATTTAGCCGGGTGCATTGGGCTCGATGTTTACAATTTCCAAAACATTTTTCAAAAACGTTTATGAGCAAAAACGTTTCTTCATGTAGCCTTAGCCTAAGAGGGGGGGGGTGAATTAATTCGATAACCACAGTACAGCGGCAAAGGGAGTCGCGTTCTCCCAGGTCTTACTGTAAGTACGATGCGCACTTCACTCTATTTTCCTATGAGTTTCCTTTTTAGGAATCCATCCCCCTCCCCCTGCCTGGAGACTCGAGGCGCGTCGGCCTCGTTCCTTGGGTTCACCCATTTATACGCGCACTCCGATCGTCAACTACGATCTAACGGTGGCTGCGGACAAGAAAGGGTAAAGGATGCAGGATACCTGAGGTCTGGAGATGCCGAGAAGTCTCGAGAAGCAACAACCTGGACGGAGAAAAAACAGAGAGAAGGCTTGAGACACGCCCCGCCGAACGAGGCGAAGCGACGAGTCTGTGGCTCGGGAGTGAGAAAAATGACTAAGACGCGCATGCGCACAGAGGGAAGGGAGACAGCCTCGTCGACTTACGAGCTCGTAGCGCTCGGTTCGCCTGGCAATTCTTGTTGTCGCTCGGTTCCCAGACCTCCCTGCCACCCCCTGCAGAAGGCAAAAACCCGATCGGTGCAACTTTTCCCTGGAGAATGGAAAAGCGTCTCCAACCTTAGGCTTTCCGAGACGAGCATCCGTCTTCCTCTTGATGGCCGGCGTCGAGACCGACGACCACTCCACGCGTTCTCGACGAACCTCGACGGGAAACGGCGTGAGAACGGGGCGAGGATCGGCAGCGACCCCGGCCGAGTCCCCATCGGGAAGGGGGAAGAAATCTCGCTCGGAGAGATGGCGATGGCGCACGGGCGACCGCCTTGGCATCACGATCGAGTCGGTATTTTTCCACCCGTCGTTTTCCTCCCCCCCCCTTAAAAACTGTCAGGCGGGTCGGGCGCCGTTCGCGAGCGATCGACCCCGCAATGCCGTTTGGGCTCGGCTCCAAGTTGGTCTCGGCCAACATCCTTCGCCGCCTGAAAATATGTCGCGTCGTCGTTCGTGCTTTGACACACGGGCCTGCGACGGGGCTGGGATCGGAAGCGTAGAAAGATCCCAGCCCCCAATGCATCAGAGCGAAAGCGGATGCGAAGCGATACCAGGTGAACCATCATTATTCACACCAGTAATTATTAGCCAACTATCTTCGATGCGTCCCCGTTCTTCTCGACGGCAACCAGGAATCCATTCGGAAACGGTCAAGGTCGCATGGGGGTCGTTCAAATTCTTGGATCCTATCTGCCTCGAGGTCGGTCGGACCATTTTTTTTGCACCTCGAGCCATTTTTAGGAGGAGAGGGACTTCGTGTTAAAACCACCAAAGAGACACTCGCGTGGAGGTGCGATTCATTATATTTTATTTCCTGCTTTTAGGCATTCAGTAATAGAAAAGCGAGAAGTGGTATGAATATTTGTGGCCCACCCTGTAGGGTGAACGAGGACGGTGAATCCTCCGAATAACGTCAGTGACACTGTCAACTAATATAGATTTAGTCCGATCGAAAGAAGACGTCAACTCGCATGAAATGCATGGCAAGAGAACAGTGTCCCAGAATACCCCCCCCCCCCCCACCACCCCCCCCCCAACACAGAGGTCTATCCTCCAGGAAAATTCTTTATCTGCTACTTGAATGACCCACCAGCCACGCTAAAGAAAAAGTCAGTTATAAATGTATGTGCATGACACCACGGTTCACCTTTCAAGGAAAAATGCCGGAATGATGTCCTCCACCCTTCAGGAAGTCATCGTGTCGCAGAAAAGTTGAAAGGCAGTAGTTGATGATAACGATGGTTCAAATTTACTAATACGAGCATGAAACTAAATGAATCCTCTCTCGCGAAAACTCGCCGTTGAAAATTCGAGGAACTTTTCCCGTCCCGGAATTTTTACTGTTCGGCATAAGAAGCATCGCCGAGAAAAGTTTCCTCAGTTCAATCGAAGCGATATTAGCCTTTTCAATGTTAAGCAACGTTAAGCTGTTGTGCAAGACGACGAGAGTGGCTCTTCCTGCGGTGATTGCACTTGAATTCCATAACGAGGCGGAGTTTCCAGGTCGGAGACAAAATCCAAACAATCTCTGCGCTAAATGAGTCTTTAACTCCTCCAGAGCAACCGCCGCAGGATTTCATCGCTCGATACGAAATGCTCCACTTAAAATCCCCCCAAAATTTTTGATTCGATCTGCAATGCAATCCTGTCTTTCCCACCCACGCGGAACCAGTTACGAAACCAAACACACTATTATTGCATTTCGAAGTCACATTGCTGGAAGCATTCTCTTGACATTTATTTAAATGTCTCCTTAATTGTCTAACCTCAATATCTTGGATCCCATTTCATTCCGCATCATCTCACTCTGTATAAATCCCTTTCTCTCTCTCTCTCTCAGCCCTAACTGTCTTTTGTGTTGACTTCCACTTGAAGATCTGTCATGCTATGAGGACCACCATGACTTTTGCTGTCCAAACTATGTACTTACTGTCGTCGTTCCTCATGGGATCCTTATGTCCTCAATAAACACTATTATTATTAGAGTTTTGAGTTCGCACTGTCACACGATGGGAATGCCAGCTGGAAACACTTGTTGCTCCTCGAACAAGGACGGATAGCCAAGGTCTTTATTTGACCCAGTGGGCCCAAGGACACGGAGCGATCCCGGGATGATCCCGAGATGATCCAGGCTCCGTATCCTTGTCCTCCCCTTGTGCGACCGGCGACGAAGATGCCGGACGGCACACTTGTCATCGTTTCCGGCGCCTTCGGGACGGTGTTCCCCGTTCCACGGCGACCGAGAACCCAACGACGCAAAATTCATTTCTTTCATCGTGGTGATTCTTCGATGATCGAGGGAGAGTGCCCCGCTCATCCACCCCGTCTCTTCGGTGTGTTGGCCCGGAAACACGGTCGACCGCATG